ATTTGGTTTATTTCAAGTAAAAAAGTCCATATAAACATGTGTCTTAAACGGCTTAGTTTCTGAAATACAGGTGAATGTTCGCAAATGTTTGACGAAACATGAGGCAAAGCATATTTATGCAGAAAGATATCCCCAAAGCAATTTACCATGTCATATATTCGCAAATATTCATCGCTTCGAGAAAAGAATTCTTTCATAAGGAATAGCCTGTTTTTTCTATTTCTAACTAGTTTAAACTGTATTTCTTTCAAATAAACAAATTATTACACGTTTAAATTTTTTTATTTCGAAAACTAAGCCGTTTAGGATATATGTTTATATTTTTTACTTGAAACTTTTTTACTTGAAATAAATCAAAGAATCGCTCTATTGAGTATGGCAACATACTTAACTACTTAACACCTTGTATATATATATATATATTTCGTTGCATAAAATTAACGATATAAATAATTTTATACATATATGTATATGATATAAGCAAATTATAATGATAGTATAATATTCTAAAGTTAACACTACTATATATACATATACATTATTAATAGAAATACCAAATTAAAATAATCATTATAAGCAAGACAAATTTTATGTATTATTGCAAACCCATCGCATTAAAAAATTGAGGACGAGGTTTTATGAAATATGAAAGTAAGCGTATATAAACCTTGAGTTCTACTGCTTTTCTCTCGGATGCAATAAATTTATTTTTTAAATTCTTTTTAATGTAGATAATGATTCTACTATAAAAATGATTAATTATTAACATATTATTACAAAACTTACTGAATTTGCTTAGATATATTTCATAAAAAACAAAAATAAACTACTTCGTTTCCAAAACTTTTGTATGAGCAGTAAAGAGGAAAGAAAAAAAATAAAAGTTTCTAACATATTACAACGTAAGCATTTTAAGATAAAATATAATAACAAAAAACATTAAAACATATAGATTTAAAATTGCAAATTAAAACTTATTCTTTAATAAGTATAATTCTTAATCTCTCTCTATTTAATAAGTATAATTCTTTAATAAGAGCATATATACATAATCATTGTTAAATATATATGATTAAAATATTGAAATAATAATATTTAAAAATAATATTTACCAAAATAAGTTAAAAATAAAATTAATTATAGATGAATTATAGATGAATTATTAAAAAAAAACATCCGAAGTTGCTGAGCTCTCGTCCATGATCAATTCTGTTAATTTAAATTTTAAATAAGCGCTATAACTGTATTTTTTTTATTAACATCTTTGATATACGAATCGAATTCAATTAACGAATTCAATTGATTTTTTTATCAAAATTCTTGTTTTACTTCTATTTTTCTCTTTCTTCATACACTTTGATCATATATTGCTTATTTGCTCCCTCATTTTCTACTTTTATGTTATATATAATTATTACACATATATAATTATTACAATATATGTACTTATTATCCATTTTAACATTATATTTTATATAAATATATGTGTGTTGATTGAGAATAAATAAAAATTAATTCATTCTCAATATATTGGTCAGTATTCATAGTAGGTTCTTATATATTAAAAAAGTACAGTCTTAAGATACAGTCATAAGCTAATCAGAGAGCTGTATTAATATCTTAAAACGGTCATTATTTAAAACGATCTTAAAATAAAAACACTGTGAACAGTAGAAATTTATTTACGCAGATGACATAAAGAATTTATAAGTTTAATAAAAAATGTCATCTAAATTTAGAATCTCTATATGTATTACGATTATAAAGTGATACTTTATTGATAAGAAACAATATTAAGTTTCATTTTCTCCGACATTATGAAAATTCGTATTGATTGCATCTATTGTAGTAGAAAGATTGTGATGCAATAGGAAAATGAATGTTATCTCATTATCTTGAATTCTCCCCTTTTCATCACATTAGCACGAGTTTACGAACTTGATGACCAATAATGCTGCAGTGAATGCAGACACTGCAGTCAATGCAAAAACTGATGTAATATTTTGATTACTGTTTGCGATATCATACAAGCTTTTTCTCTCTTACTTCCTAAGGAAGACTGCGTTTACAAACGAGGAGATGAGAATAAAGGCCTAATTATGAAATAATATTAATAAAAATTAAAATAATTTGCTACTTTTTTATTCACAAACGAATAATATCAAATAATATTTATATATCTTTAAGAAATTATATGTTACAATACTTTTCTATTACGATCAATATTACATGAAAAAGCTAATTGACGAAAAAAGGGCCTAAGTAGAATTATGCCTTTATTTCGCCCATCCCCTCAATTATAAATCTCGGGAAAACCAATTTTAACAAACAACTCAATGCCATTATATTATAGCAGACTATACAAGCTTAATTTAATGATAATGCGATTTTTATTACAATTTATATCGCAATAACGATAAGAACAACTTCCAGTTTTTAATGGGATACAAAAATAAATAAAGGAAAAATTACGTAAAGAATGTTATAGCTATAAATTGTGGTTTACAATTTATCGTTTATGATAGTTTTAGTGTGTTCTTAAATAATAATGCTAAACAATAAATATAATATTTTATTTATATAAATACATTATAGGAGTAAATTATAATTTAAGGATTATAACAGAAAAGATCTGTTATTATGCAAATAAAAGTATTGAGAGATTATGTTTAAATTGTTTATTCTGTTTCTTTTATTGAACTGTAAATAATTGAAAAAAGAAAACAAACGTTTTATCGTTTGTTTTCAATAAAAGATAATAAAATATCTTAAATAATATACTTTTTATTTTTAAAAATTCATAATTTTCATGCAAAAAATATGTAATATATTAATTATTACAATATTCAATCGTTTAATCATTTCCGTATATTCCATATATTCTAGTAATTCTTCAATGTAGAAGGAACTTAGCAGGAAAAGATATTTCGGCGAAAGAGATCACCTACGTTGGGGACTTCCCATTATATCTTTCAACTTGGAACTTCCACGCATTCTTCTATGCACGCTTAAACGACAAACTAGAAACGTCATGCGTGTTACCTTTTAGTCTAGAAGTTGCATTCTTCTACTCTTCTTGACTGAGAAATTAGATATCACGAGCGTTACTCATAATTAATTAAACGTTCTATTTCATTCCTATTTCTCAATATATATTTTTCCAATGATCACAATATTGATATCACATATGTACATTAATTATTTCATAATTATCTTGAAAAACATAGTTGGCTTGTATGAGCGTGTGATTATGATTTTATTATAAAGATTTTATTATAAATTCAAATTATACGGATTTAAATTACATACGAACTAAGAAAACTTCAATCTTTTGTAAACAGATCATTAATATGCTGTGAGATCATCATGTGAGTAAATAATTAATATCAAGTTTCATTTAGTAAAGATTATATAATATAATTTCATATAATAAAAACTATATAATTTAGGCATAATTTTTATGCTGGAAAGAAAAAAATTTAATCGTACGTCATGGTTTACATACCATAATAAAAAAAATAAAATCATAATGAAATAAAAAAATTAATCTTAAAACTGTGCAAAATATGAACAAAATTTTTTGATTCTCGGAAATTACATATAAAATATGGGAAAAAATATTAAATCCTGCTCGCAAGATATCCCAGAAGATATTGACGGGGGGGGGGGGGCAGACAACGGACAGAGTAGTGTAGAATAGTAAAGATAATAATAGTGGTGGCGGTATGAGGGACAATTCAGAATCCGTAGTCGGTTCTATATAAGAGTACCAGCTATATCAACCGGAGGAGACATTCTCTCTTAGTAACCAGCCCGCTGATGACCAAACATTAAGGTCGTTGAGTACAAAAACCGCGTCGCCAAGTTGTGTGATTATCGCGTCACGAAGAAGAAGAGTCCAAAAATAACCGGTATAATTGGAAAGAAATCATCTAGTGAGAAAAAAGAAAACTAGGAGAGACAATAAGAGGAGCAGAAAAAATTAACGAGAAGTGCGTGCTTTCAGAAAGAAACTACCGAGTCGAGTGTTCGATCAAAAGGCAAGAAAAGTATATATACGAGTGAAAGGGAATCAGAATTGTCGTATTTCGACAGTCATTGGTAGTGCGAGCAACGTAGTTACGAAGTAAAAGTGTTAACTCTCTCTGAAATTGAATTGTCGAAAACAAATAGAAAATCAAACAGAACAGAGTGATAAGGTGAGTGTCGACACGAAGTATGAATCACGGAAACTGTTTTTAGTGCTAACAAATTACACGGTGAATTAATAAAGAATTAAAACTTTTATTGCTATAATACGATATTATAACAATACAAATAATTAGAAATTCATTTTAGCTAGCTATATATTTGTTCAAGATTTGTCGATATTACGTAAACACATTATTTAAATTGTGATAATTATTAGAGAGAGAAACCCGCTTAAGCAATCCGCGCTCACATTAACAAATTTCGACATTACCATACATTGTATTAAGCACTTACGTTATTATCAATCCCGGTTGTTATAATTGATCTACTTTATTATACAAAATATTTAAAAATCCGCAAAGTTGGAACGATTGATAGTACTCGTTAAAAAATTAAAAAATCAATGCAAGTCGGAAAATTAATCTTGTCAAATATTAAGGAAATTATTTTTGATTTAAAATTATTATAAAAATCACGAACTATAAATTATTTTAAAAAATCACAAAAATGTTAACGATTATTATCATAAAAATACTCACGAGATAATAATAAGTTTAATATTATCACAATTTAGTCACAAAAAGAGTAAATTAAATTATAAATTTTATTAAAATCATATTTCAAATTTCAATAACGGCATCTCAGTTTATATTAAGATTAAACAGCTCGCTCTTTTTTCTTTGCTTTTTATTCAATAATGTTTGCATATAATAACATTGAATTAAATAAATTATAAGTGCGACATGAATATTATACAGGCTTTGACATGTACATGTATAACCTTCCTCTACATGCGAATTTCGTTTTCCTTTTATCGATTCAAGGCGAGAATTCCGATGATGCCTTTTTTTTTCCGTTGACACTGTCATGATATATTTCTACGTGTAAAGAATCGTGTATTTTCACGTGTAAAGAAAGATCATGTTTCATATCTTAGAATTTTCTACAGCGCGCCTTGCTGCACTTATATGCAGCCATATATTTCAAGAATGCAAACTATGTCTTTTTGTCATAGATATGTTAATAACGCTTGTCTTGTAAATGCTTTAATTGCCACTATTGTAATTGTTTTTATGAAACTATTAATGGAAATGTTAATTATTCGATTAATCCTATATAGGATCGAAAATTAATTATTCGTAATGAAAACGTTTATTAATTAGAAAAACTCAAACGGATATTGTTAATATTTCTCATAATAATAATTGAAAAGAAAATTATCATGATTACTATTGCATTATTATTCTGAAGAATTATTACAATAATTATTACATTATCCATTCAGTAAAATTAGATTCGTTAGAAATTTGAACAAATTATTTGCAATTGTTTAAATCTACAAAAGTCTTTTCTTCGATTGTATTAAAGATATAGAAGATTTTTCTTACACATATAATATCTATATAGTAACTTACACACACACACACACACACACACACACACACACACACACACACACACACACACACACACACACACACACACACACAATTAATATATATGTTGACTATCTTCAGACATAAATTTAATACAATTCATATTCAATAAAAAAATAATTTATTCCTAAAATAAATTAATCCAGTCGCGCATATTTCATATCACATATTTCTTTCATCATAAAATATAAACTTTTCCTTTATAAAGATTTCATATAAGATCCTAAAATTTGCAAAATATTATAGGTAATTCTCAAGAAATTAATAAATTAAAAAATATTATTTGTAAATTTTTATTTTAAACAATAATTTTTTAGATACAATAAGAGTTTAAATATGATCAATTACAAATTATGTTTAGATAGCCATTTTCATGAATTGTGCGTGTGGTGATCATTGATGAACACTTCAACGCGTTCACTAATACCATAGATGACCATCCAAACGTAGTTTAAATTGTAATTGCCCATATTTAAACCATTAGAAGCTATTGCTTAAAATAAAAATTTACAAATAACTTTTTCTATTTAATTTTTCGAAAACTTTCTTGCTATAATTCGCGAATTTTTGAATATCCTATATATGAAGTGATTAATTAAACTTTATCAACTTCAAAAAATAATGCACAAAAATTAACATTTTATACAATTGATTGACAGGTTGTTGCGATTCGCAAATTAAATCATTGCAGCAACAAAGTTGCTCGAAAAAATAAGCTATAAAAGAGTTTCCAAGCAGTAATTTTTGATATTATTAAAAATTAGTTAAATATAGGTTACGATTAAAATACGGTTGTCTGTCCATGAGTCACGTAGTTAATGATTCGTTCACTTTACTCTTTTACAGACATTAGACATTAGAAGGATTGTGTACGTAACTATGCGTAATGCCGTTTGTTGAATGTTATATTAGGTGTGGGAAAAAGTTCGTGGAATTTTTTTAATGCCATCTAACGGGAAAAACGCCACGAACTTTTTCCCATATATATTTGTTGTAAATTAGTTGATGCGATTAATAAACAAACATAACGAATAAAACAAATCTGTGATTTGTCGGAATTATAACTACTATATCATTAATTTATATATGACAATATCAATGGGATAAATTAATAAAATTTTAATAATTGCAATCAGGTGATATATATATATATATATATATATATATATATAT